GGATTTTCACCAAAACTCGTAATTTAATATAAGAGACCCTAAATATTCATTTTTAATCATATTTTTGGGGGAAATCCTTGCCTAAGAATAAAATCTATTTGGTGAGATATTTAGGTGGAGTGTTGACTTATCCTTTAGGCAAAGACAGAAGTTACCTCCCATACCCACTCCTTGACTATTCCCAGTCACTATTCACTCATACCTAGTCAATCATTGTCCTTTCACCACCCCTCTCCAGCAAGATTCAATACTCAAAAGCTGAAAATCTCCTCTCTCCTTCCACCTTATTCACACTTTCTCAAAGAAGAACAAACACATTCTCTCTCACTTCCTCTCACCAAGAATTCGAGATTCAAGGCTGATCTTGAGCTCTTCACACACCTTGGTAAGTAAATCTCTTCCCACACTTGATTTCCTTACACTTCTTCACTCAAATTACGGGTTCCTTACACAAATATCGTCATATTTGTTGTTAGATCTTCGAATCATCAAGCATCTTCTAAGTGTTCTTGAGTTGAACACTTCTTTTCTTCATCATCCATCTTCTGAAATTACTCAAGGTGAGTTCATACCCCTACATTTTCATGTTTTCTTAAAGTTTTAAGGGGGGAATACATGTTAAAACACCAAAAACTTAACTAAACTCAAACAACAGCTTTCATCAGAAAAGTTGAGTCTTATTCACGGACTGTTTTGACTATCTTAAACTTAATATCTTTCAAAACTGTTTCATATGCAAATATTTCAGGTGCATACCTTTAAAATGACTACTTGCACATCTCCATACGATTTACGATTTATGGTGATTTTTACAAAACTGCTTATCATTTCAAAAACGAATTCGGACCAGTCTGTGAATATGAACATTTTAACACAAGTTAAAGACTTCTAAAAATCATAATAAAAATTATGAATAAACTAGACACATTTTGTGAACTCTCAAAATTTACGGATTCAGTTTTCGGCTTCGTATGATTTTTCTATGATTTTTCTAAAACAGTGTAGAAAGGTCAAAAACTAGATAACAGCTTATAACTTTCATCACACTTTGTAACATGTTGAGCAAAGTGTTAATCTTTGAGGATTTCATATTTTACATGTGTTTCTTGTTGTGGTATAATTATATAACAGAAAATACTCACTGAATTGTAAGAACCCTCCATCATTACCAATAGTACAAAACAAGGCAGGATAAACATACTTATATTTTTGCTACACATTCGACTTACCTAGAAAAGGGTTCTTATACACCACAAACAAATATGCTAAACTATAATAGGTATAGTTAGGTTGCATATACATTTAAAACATTATGATAAACCATAATAGGTATAGTTTACGTTTCATTTACATTACGAACTCATTACAAAAGGTTTTCATATAAAAGGGGGTACATTACAAAGTACCAGGTTTATACAAAAATGGGTACATTACAAAGTATCGGGTTTATACAAAAAGGGATACATTACAAAGTACTGGGTTTCATATAAAAGGGGTACATTACAAAGTACCGGGTTTATACAAAAAGGGGTACATCACAAAGTACCGGGTTTCATATAAAAGGGGTACATTACAAAGTACCGGGTTTATACAAAAAGGGTACATTACAAAGTACCGGGTTTTCATATAAACGGGGTACGAATACAAAGTACCGGGTTTACACAAAAATAGTTTTAGGGTATTAAAACTACATATCTTTTAGAATTGTTAGTTTTCAGCTATAATCGCTACGTGTACATGTTAGAGTTATATAAAATTGAATTGAAATCGACTTAGAATTGGTGGGCCCGCCCTATCTCATGTTCCTTGTTTGGTTGTGGACCTAGGGCAGACCCATTATATTCAACGGTTTATTTAATTTAAATTTTATATAACTTATATACGCTGAGTGATTATAGAAGGAATCTATGGGTCTTTCTAGGGTACATTACCGCATAACATAGGAGCATTCATTTCACACTTAATAAAGAAAATATTGGATTTTCTGGAAACATACTCTGTCGCTTTTACAAGGAAAACGGTTTCTTCCTCAAACAAAACTCTTATGAACTCACCAACTTAATTGTTGACACTTTTCAAAACTACTTGTATTCTCAGGAAATCAGTGATACAGGAAACCAACAGCATTTTGAGGATGGGACGTTTAATCGTCAAACAGTTCATTTTGTCATCATAATGTAATTGATTTTGAAACATGTAAACATATACTATGATGTAACATTTTAAATTATATTTATGATGGTTGTATTTACTTTGAGCACTATTATACTCGTTGTTGTGATACTATACATGAAGTTCTCCACTCCCAGACGTTTCCGCCATCCTTGGTTTGGGGGTGTGACATTCACAAACTGTTAATGGCTTTCCACATTACCAACCATCATCTTTATGACTTAATGATCACTAAATATGTTTTTCTAATCCACTTATTAAGCTTTGAATCATCTTAATAATCATTTAATTACTAAATTTCAATCGCATGTTATGATTCCATTTTAATCAATAAGATTCCAAGCACTTCCAATGAAGTTGTGAATTGTTAGGAAACCTTTGCAAACACTTAAAATTCTTTAAAATACTTTTAGGTTTATATCATTTTAGTCAATTTCCAAGTTACTTCCATGATTTTTGAAAATAGATTTGTTTCAAAAGCATTTCAACATATTCCAATGGTAGTTCCCCATTGGAATAAGTAATTCACATCAAAGTTTATTAGGAACCATGGAATCACATCAAACCCTAACTTAAGAACCAAGTACTTCAATAAATTAACTTGGATTTAATAAATCTGATTCTACTAACGAATCTAAAAGCGAATGTACAAGTCATTAAGGCACTTTTACCACTCATATATTGAGATTATGGCTCATATCACCCAATCCCATCAGTAGAGATGGAAATAAACCGTACATTGATTAGATAACAACCTCATGATGATCTATTTCAACTCAAAGTATCAATTAAGTAATGGATTTGGATGTCATCAAGGATCTAGGGTTTGCGAATCCCAAGATCCATCAAATGTTGAATCAAGCTCTAAAATGAAAAGAATGTTACTAGAAGCATATCCAAAGCTTGATTCAATACTTAATTGCTACTAGAACATAAAAAAACTCACAAAGAGTTCGTGAAAATAGAATTTGATGTTGAACAAAAAAAACCGTAGAATTGAATTTGAGATGAAATAGAGGAGAAAAGCTACCTTGCAAAAAAGGAGGTGAAGAGATATGATTAAAGCTTATACAATTTGAATTCAGACCTCAAAATAATTTAATTTGAGAAGAAATAGAGGAAAAAAATCCACCTTCCAGGCAAGGAAATGAAGAGACATTATCAAAGCCTCTGCTACCCAAATAATTTTCGTTGCAAAGTCGTTGATAAGACAAGTTAGTGATGCATTTATACTTGCTCGAAATCCATATATTTTTGTAGTGTTTACACGTATATAAATTCAAACTTAGTCGATAGGTTTCATGGACTTGTGTGATTATATACATTTATAACACACAATAATGTGATGAAAGCAAAACATATCCTAAGTATACATACCCCAAGATCCATAGGAAATTTGATACACGCTTTATATGTTATCCATCACCAAACTCAATTTACGAATTATGTCACTGCATCGAACAAAAAATTTAAATGCAAATACGATGGAAATCATACGTACAACATAGCAAACTAGTGTGATTTACATAATAATTCTATCACAATTCATAAACAACCATGGTTTTGAAAATCGGACCGGCCTTTTCAACCGGGAACCGGTCTCTGGTTACCGATTTTTTGAAGTCAAAAAACCATTTATTTGTGAACTAGTAAAAACCGGTTGGTTCAATAAAAACCAGGTTAAACCGAACCGATTCAACCTCTAAAAAACCGATTTTATCATAAAAAAGTGACAAAAAGATGATCAATCCCAAATCCGACTTTCCAAAAAATATTTTGACTAAAATAAAACTAGACTTGTAGTAAATCGTGTTGAACAAGTAGCGTATTTTATTTTAACATGAGAGAATGTACAAGGGAGCACCAATTTATAAAAGAAGCTCTCTCCCTTCTTTCTTATTCCCAAGATATGGGCATTCTTATTCACGAGATATGGGCAGGGCCGGTCCAAAGGTATTTGATGCCCTGGGCAAAAGTGTTTAAGGATACCCTATGATTGTATCGTAAAACCTTGATGAAGTCGTATATGTACATTCCAACCACGAAAATGCACATATATATCATGTAATGTCATTAATTGTTACAGTAAAACATCTAGAATTTTATTTAAAATACATATGTTAATACAAAAAACAATAACAAGTAGCATTTACTAAAATGCTACCATACGCATCTAACACGACAACCTATATTAAGATATACTACAATTACATAATATAATTATAAACTCATCTCCAATTCAACACAAACTCATAAGAAATACATACATCTTCTTTTAAAGCAATCTCCCCGCCTCAATCGAATCCTCTCTTCTTAATGAAATCTATTAATGTATATTATGTATCTTGTATTTAGCCCATTAGATTAGCCTTTTTGTATGTACGTATAAGCCCATTACTTTATGTATATAGTATTCAATTGATTAATGAAATTATTCAAGGGAAATCATTCTCCAATATGGTATCAGAGACTTTCTAACCTTGGTACCCATACACCAGCCGGCCCTACCTTCTCCTTCTCGATCCTGTTAGTCTTCTCCTTCTTCTCTATCTCTATTTTGTTCTTCTTCTCTATCAGACATGGTTGATAAAAATAAGCCCTTCACTTGCATCAATATCAAGTCCTATGTTCCTCTTATTCTTTATCTAAATGAATTAAACTACGATGCGTGGCAGGAGCTCTTTCTCACTCATTGTCGTGCCTATGGTGTCCATGGTTTTTTTGACAGCACAAACAAACCCATAGACGCAACAGACACCGATTGGGACAACCTTAACAATCTTGTCAAGTTCTGGCTCTATGGCACAATGACACAGTCATTACTCACCATGATCCTCAAACCAAAATCAACAGCCAACTCTATCTGGGAAGCCATTGAAGCCCTTTTTAGAGACAATAAACACTTGAAAGCAATTGAATTGAACAATGAGTTGTGTACTCTAGTCCAAGGCGACCGCTCTATACCCGAATACTGCCAGAAAATCAAAGTTATTTCTGATCTCCTAGACAACATTGATGCACCAGTCCCTGAAAAGACACTAGTTTCATACCTGCTCAACGGTTTAAACCCGAAGTTTGAAAGTGTTTCCATGCTCATCTGTCACAAAGATCCCCCACTTTCATTCCTTGAAGCACGCTCAACTCTTGTTTCTGAAGAGTTCCATGTCAACAGGAACCACACCCTGACACCCTCACCTCATTATGATCATGGATCCTATCCTACAGTTCTCGTCGCCAACAGCAACAAGCCCGACAACAGGCGGTCTCAGCACAACAGATCCTCCTCCAATCGGCGCAACATTGACTCCTCCAACCGTCGATCAGCGCCGTCTTCCTCGTCGTAGGTACATGCCACTGGTTGCTACCCTCCTCCTGCTCCGTGGAATCCATACTACTATCATTGGGCGGCGTATGGCTAGCCTGCCCCTCCACCATGGGCTGTTCCACGCCCTCATTTGGCTCCTCAACCACAACAACACCGCCGACAACCACCTGCAACCGGGATTCTTGGACGACACCCATCAGCCCAACCAGGTTCCTCTACTTCCCAGGGAGCATTTCACGCTACTACTACTGATCAGTCCTCATTTCCTCCTCTTTGGCATTGGTTTCCTCCTATGCCACCTGATCAACCAACTGATCTCCCTACTGCATACAACACAATAACACTCACTGAACCGGAAGATGCAAACTAGTATATGGATACGGGGCTGACATCTCATCTCGTCTAATGCAGGTATTCTATCTTCACTTACACACAATTCGGTTTTTGTTGGCAATGGTTCCACTATTCCCGTTACCCAAACATGACATAAAGTTATCCACTCAATCAATCACCCGTTACATTTGAACAATGTCCTTGTAACACCCGATATTATCAAAAACCTTATTTTTGTGCGCAAATTTACTACTGATAATCTTGCTGCCATTGAATTTGATCCATATGGTTTTTCTGTGAAGGATTTCCCGACCAAGCAGATCCTTCTTAGATGCGATAGTACCAGCGTCCTCTACCCAGTCACCTCTTCAGTAGTCACCTTACTCACTAATCAAGCATCTCTATGGCATCAACGTTTGGGACATCCCGGTCCCCGTGTTCTTCAATCTTTAATTTCTAGTCATTTCATTTCATGTAATAAAAACAATGTTCCATTTTCCTGTAATGCTTGTCGCCTTGGCAAGCACTCTCGTTTACCTTTTGTTTCACCTAATAATCATGTCACTGAGTTGTTTGAAATTGTGCATTTGATTTATGGACTTCATCCATTGTTAGCACTAGTGGCATCAAATATTACATCCTTTTTCTTGACAATTTTTTCATTTCTTATGGGTATACCCGTTTCGTAAGAAATCTGATGTCTATAGCAAATTTCTCCACTTTCGGGCATATGTTAAGACTCAATTCAAACAAGAAATCCAATCTTTTCAGTGTGACCATGGTGGTGAATTTGATAATCACCAATTTCACCCCCTCTTTGACCAAAACGGCATAAATTCTGTTTCTCATGTCCCCGCACATCTCACAGAATGGTCGGCCAGAACGCATGATTTGATCAATTAATAATGCCATACGTACCCTTCTCTTTCACGCACATATACCAATAACATATTGGGTTGAGGCCCTACACATGGCATGTCATCTTCTAAATATCACCCCTTCCACAACCATTAACAACGAGATCCCATTCACCAAACTTTTTCAAAAAAATCCATCCTACTCTCATCTCCGCATCTTCGGATGCCTCTACTACCCTTTAATACCCACTTCTCACAAACTTGAACCTCGATCCATGCCATGTGTATTTCTTGGATACCCATCACAACATCGTGGGTTCCGATGTCTGGACCTTCACACTCGAAAAAAAATTATCTCCAGAGATGTGACTTTCGATGAAACCTCCTTCCCTTTCCAATCTATGACCACCGAAAACCCACCTTCTTACTCGTTCCTTGACGACCACCCCTCACCTAATACTTTTTCCGCTGCCATTAACCCACCAACGGAACCTCCAATCAGCCCACCATCATCACCTAACCACCATCAACACACCAGCCACCCCACCGAAAATCACCAATACCACTCCCCCCTCTAACCGCAACTCCTCAAAACAGCCCTCTCCATACTGCCACCTCTCCAAACAGCCCCCACCCTCCTAAAACAACCATAACTAGCCCCTTATCGCCTCACTCCTCATCCCCCACCTCCAACCCATCCACTCAAAACAACCCGTCAAACTCCCCTCCTATTTCCGTTAATACACATCCTATGGTTACCCGTGCTCAACGGGGTATTTTCAAACCCATCTCCAAACTTAACCTTCATACCACAGCCGAATCTCCATTACCAAGATTCCACCTCCATGCTCTTAAAGACCCCAACTGGACCAATGCCATGAAAACCGAATTTAATTCACTTCTTACTAATGAAACATGGGTACTTGTTCCTAGACCAAAAGATGTTAATATTGTTCGGTCTATGTGGTTGTTTAAAGAGAAATATAAAGCAGATGGCTCATTGGAACGATATAAGGCACGACTTCTTGCAAACGGTAAAAGTCAACGGCCGGGGATTGACTGTGATGAAACATTTAGTCCAATTGTTAAACCGGCTACCATACGTACGGTTCTTAGTCTCGCCACATCCCGTGACTGGCCAGTTCACCAGCTTGATGTTAAAAATGTTTTTTTACACAGACATCTCAATGAAACTGTGTATATGCACCAACCGCCCGGATTTCATGACCCCAAGTTCTCGAATCATGTATGTCATCTTAAACGGTCTTTTTATGGTTTAAAGCAGGCCCCACGGGCATGGTTCAATTGGTTTGCTACATTTCTCAAGAAGCATGGATTTATACACAGCAAATGTGATTCGTCTCTATTTTTCTTCAGATCCGGGAGTGCCACTGCTTACTTGTTGTTATACGTTGATGATATTATTCTCACAGCATCGACCACATCTATTCTTCAGCATCTTATCAAACTCCTGGCTGCGGAGTTCGCCATGACCGATCTTGGAGTTATCTCATATTTTTTGGGCATCTCAGCAATTTCTAACAAAGAAGGATTGTTTCTCTCTCAACGTAAATATGCTCTTGAAGTCCTAGACCAAGCAAATATGCTTAATTGTAATCCATGTCGCACTCCTGCAGACACTCAGTCCAAGCTCAATGATACAGGACCACCCGTTGCTGATCCCACTCTTTATCGCAGCCTTGCTGGAGGCTTACAATATTTAACCTTCACCCGACCAGATATTTCCTTTGTTGTACATCAGATCTGCTTATGCATGCACGACCCGCGTAAACCCCATTTTCATGCATTAAAACGCATTCTACGTTATATTCGCAGTACATTAGATCTTGGCCTCCAGCTTCATCGCACCGCAACTACTGGTCTTATTGCCTACTCAGATGCCGACCGGGGCGGTTGCCCATCTACTCGCCGATCTACCAGTGGTTATTGTGTTTTTCTAGGCGACAGCCTGGTCTCATGGTCCTCTAAACGTCAACCCACGGTCTCGAGATCAAGTGTCGAAGCTGAGTACCACGGTGTTGCAAATGCAGTTGCCGAAACTTGCTGGTTGCGGAAACTCCTTCCTGAGTTATACACCCCCATACCCAAAGCTACTATTGTATATTACGATAATGTGAATACGGTCTATCTCTCCACAAATCCGGTTCAACATCAAATGACAAAACATATTGAAATAGACATTCACTTCGTTCGAGACAAAGTCGCCACTGGTCAAGTCTGTGTCCTTCACGTCCCTTCCGCACTTCAGTATGCCGATATCTTCACCAAAGGGCTTCCTTCGTCCCTCTTCAATGATTTTAGAAACAGTTTGAGCCTTCGGAGTGTTCCTACCGCTCGAACTGTGGGGGGGGAGGGGGGGGGGGGGGGGCGGTATTAATATATATTATGTATCTTGTATTTAGCCCATTATATTAGCCTTTTTGTATGTACGTATAAGCCCATTACTTTATGTATATAGTATTCAATTGATTAATGAAATTATTCAAGGGAAATCATTCTCCAATAAAATTCTTGCTGCAATTAATTATGAAGTTAAACAGTGAACATAATGATTCCTCAAACATATGAAATTTAAGACATTCACGGTGAACCCAAAAAATACGATAGAAAATTGTAATTACTAAATGGTGAACATAGAAATTTCTTTGTTAAAGACAAAATGAAATCAAATTATCCCTAACTGAACTGAAATATACCATAACATTAAAAAAAATATTTTTCTCAAAACATAAATAATAGCAGACTCGCATAACCAAGGCCATGTCTATATATACACTACATGGACCATTTTGGTGTTTACTCTTTTTGAAACATCATTACAAATTCAACAACGAAATTTCTCACGAAAACCGTAAATTGCATTCATACAATGATGTTCAACTATATTCAATGTTGTTTGCCTCTTTACATATTAGTGTATTTAATGTTGTTTACTCTTTACCTCTGAACCAGAAACTAGATTAAACATTACAACCTCCCAAATGGCTAAACATAGAACATAATGGATGAACATGAATAGCCGAACATGAATGGTTGAACCAGAAGAGAGATCAGGTGGCTGGAAATAAGAAATTTTATTGAACATTATAACCTCCCAAGTCACTGAATGGCTGAAAATTATACCTCCTGGAGGATTGAATGGCTGGAAATTATACCTCCTGTATGGCTGAAAATAAGAAATCAAATTAAACATAATTCATCCAGAAAAATACTTAGATTAAAAATAAGAACCCCAAACTTTCAGGAATCAGAACTACAAAAATTAGCTCGTAAAATTTCGAACTCCAAAATGATATATATGTACTGCTACTGGGCATAACTACTGGACTGTATTGGGCCGGCCCTTTGTGGGACTTCCATTTAGAAGTTTCTAAGTTTATTAATTACATATATGAGTAATGAGTGGGTGTTCAAATTTCAAAGGCTAGACAGGAAATTCTTGTAAATAAGCATATGATTTTATTAATTATAATTTTACATTTAATTATAATATAATAATGATGTCATCCGTTTTTTTGGACCGATCAAACTGATTGAACCATCGAACTGACAAGCCAACCGGTTCAATCTCCGGTCTAGTTTTCAAAACATTGTAAACAACTCACAAAAACAATTCATACAAAAATTAATCCATAAACACGGTTATTACTATATACTCAACTTCAATCCGTGTGTGTTACCTAATGTAATACGAGTATATTTTACAATACTTTGAATATAACATATTGTTTATTTTTTGTTATTATACATTTCTGTTAACACAAAATTTACGATGATGTATCGTTTACATATTCTTCATAAATGGAAC